CCCACCCAGGAACTGGATGGCATGCTTCTGCCCATGGTCTGGCCCAGAGGGTGGCGGCCCGTGAACCAGGCAGACCCTCACTCTACTCTCCAGGAGAAGCCCTGGGAAAACAGCCTGGCTTTAGAACTCAGCATCCGTCAGTGGTTGGGGTTACCCACGGCACGGCTCATGGCTGGGGCAAGAGGGGCACCCCCCGGAAATTTAAGGGCAAGTCACACACTCCCTCCTGGTCTATGAGCCACCCCTGCCTCTGGTCCACAGGCAGGATGCAGGTCCCAAACCAGGGTGCCAGGCTGGCTCCCTCCTTCTGGCTGCAAGCAGCAGCCGAAAGAGCACAGGCAGAACACTCCCAGGGCCTGGGCAGCTCAAGGGCCAGTTGTGCCCAGGCCAACAGCCAGGCTCGGCAGGAAGGCCACCCCTGTGACCCCCCACCCACCCACCCACCCAGGGAGAGAGCAGGGCTTTGCACGCTCGGCCCGTAGGTGGGGGCAAAGGCCTCCAGGACTCCACCGGCCATCGAGACGCAGGCAATGACTTGGTCCCCGTCGGAAAGGAAGCACCTGGGCCTTTCCCCGGCCGGGGGCATCCACCCCCACCACCACCACCACCCGGCTATGAGGCTGAAGTGGGAGTGTCAGCTGTGCCCGGTCCCCATCGGAAAGGAAGCGCCTGGGCCTTTCCCCGGCCGGGGGTATCCACCCCCACCACCACCACCACCACCACCACCACCCGGCTGTGAGGCTGAAGTGGGAGTGTCAGCTGTGCCCCTCCAGGGTCCACCTTGCCGGGAGGGGCACTCACGCCCAGCTTCTCTCTCACCTTGGTTGCATTCCGGTTTGCATAGTTGACACAGGCGTTGTGGCTCTGGTTCAACCACTGGGGACAAAACAGAAAGAAACAAGAACAAGCAGCTAAGGGTTAAGAGTGAGCGAGCGAGCGGGCGAGCGACCAAGCCAGCCAGCCAGCAAGCAAGCGCACACAACAGAGCTAGCAAGCGAGCGAGCGAGCGAGCAAGCAAGCAAGCGGACAACAGTAGCACACATGCTGCCAAAGAAGAGGTGCAGCACCCATGGAGGAAGGCAGCCTTCCCCGTTATTCCTCCCGCTGGGGAAAGGAGCGTTTTGTGATCTGAGCCAGACAAGGCTGTCCTGCGTCTGCGAGAGAAGAGGGCCTACAGCGCAGGGCACTCCTCGGGGGGGGGGACAGGCACCCCATCCTCCCTCCAGCTGCCCCACCCCTCAGGTACACACACACACACACACACAGGCAGTGCCTGGCTTCTGTCTCACGTACTCCCAGGGCTGGCTGTCCTCCTCCTCCTCCTCCTCCACCAGGTTCCTGCCTGGAGCCCCCAGCCCTCCCGCCAGGGCTGCCGCTGTCACCCCCCCACCTCCCGGGCTGGCTGCCTCCCTATGGGGTGGTTATAAGTCCAAAAAAAAAAATCCTGGGGGGGGGAGGGCAGGAGCTGCAGGTAGGGCACCCCGCCCAAGCCATGAGAAAAGCCAGAAGAGGCAGAAGCCCAATAGAGCCACAGGGCCAGAAGGAGGAGGTGGTGGTGGTGGGGGGGCGATAGAGCAAGGCTTCCCTCTGGATGCCAGCACAACGTTCTAGGTCAAAGGAGAGTGCAGGTCTAAAGACCCTCTTCACAGCAGCTGGTCCCTGGGGGGGGGGCACCCCAGGGGAAGGGATGCCTGGTTCCCATTCAAGCTCATCTTTGCTTCTGGTGGGTGTGTCTCCTGTGCCTCCCCCCGCTCCCCATTGCTAGGTACCAAGTCAGGAAGTCACAACCTTTTGGCCTTAATTAGCCTGCCAGGCAGAAGCCACACAGGGACGGGCAGCGCCGGAGACAGGAGGCGACGCGATGGCCAGCCCTCTGGTCTCTGGCTCATCGAGAGCTTGGCCTCCGCACACACAGGCGCCCGCCCGCCTTGCCCAACTGAAACAAGAGCCCAGCTCTCTCCCTGCCCTATTGGTGGAACTGGGTCGGAGCGCCAGGGGAGCTGCCAGCTGGGACCGCCCGGGTTGCAGGGCATCCTTAGCACAGGCCTGGCCGGCCTTTTCCTGCACGGGTCTCCTGCCACCCATCAGACGGCACGGTTTTCTCAGATTTTGACCAAAGTTTTTGGAATGTACACAAGTACCGGCTGTCTGTAACCTGGTTTTTTAGGGGGGGTTCCCCATTCTTCCTCTCTACTGTGTCAGGGCTGTGTTTTTATTGCTGTGATCCATCCTCCGAGAGGCGGAACATTTCCATGAACGTAGACCAACCCATAGGAGCCCTGCGGCTCCCTTCCCTTCATCTCTCTTGACGTTTAGACGGCCAAGGACTGCCTGCCGCCACATACACTGACAGCACCACCATCCCCTTGAGGCACACTCTGCCCCACGGAGAAGAAAGAGGCCCATGAGATCCAGCCACACGGCTCTTGTGGGGACAGACCAAGGCCACCCCCCGACACCCGGAGTTCCACTCCTGGAGGACAAGGAGGTGGTTGGTGCCCCTGCCACCCGGGGAGCAAAGAAGCAAAGCTGCCCTAAACCGACTCTCAGGTTCCAGGGGCCCCTATCCCTGGCGTATGAGGGCAGGGCCCCCTCTGAGCCCCTACGGGAGAGGCACAGGACCTGGGCCCTTCTGCACCCCCCCAAAGCCCCCATGCCCGACCACCAGGGCCCCCTTGTAGGTGCCAGAGCTGCGAAGCCCTGCTCAGCCACGGCTCTATCTAGGTTGCAAGGACTGGGGGGGGGGAACTCCCCAGGAACTCAGGTGGACTCTTTGCCAGGTGCTCCGGGAGATGCCAGGAATGGCAAGGGGGTCTTCTGCGCGCGCGTTCTCCACCTTTTCCCACAACGGGTGTGGCTGGTGTGGCATGATGCGCATCTTGTACGAGTGAAGCATGGATCCATGATGCCCCAAGGAAAACCCATGCATGGGGGGAGGGGCAGGCGTTAGGCTCTGGTTCAGCCCCCCCCTCCCCCGGCCTCCTGTTCCATCCTCTTGGAGGCCTCCGTCCTCTTGGGTTTGGCACATTTGCAGCCCACAAACTGGTGGGGGACGGACTGCTGTTCTGCCCTGGCAAAGTGACATGTGTTTCCCCCCCCCCATCCTTGGATCTGCAGAGGGCCTCAAGGTGTCTTTTCATTCTGAAGGAGCTCCTTTCCCTTTCCTTTAGGGAAGCCCAGCATCTCCACGCGCCATCCTTGGGGGCTGGCTGGCCAGAATCCGACCCCACAGCTCAGGGCCAGATTTTGTGACAGCCCGTGCCGACTTCAGGCAAGCACTTGCATCGGGGGGGGGGGCAACTGCTCTCTCTAACTCAAGTTTGCTCCCCCTCTGCCTTGCAGAGTTCTGGGGAGAAGAGGGGAGCCAAGTGAGGCCTGCCTTCACCCCAACGTCCTGGCAAAGCTGCGCAGAAGAGGAGAGGGGGTCCCGAGCAGGCTCCTACTCGCCCCACTGGGGATGCCCTGGTGGCGCTTACCTCCGTCGGGGCCCTGACATGACCTGGGCTGCAACCTGCACCCTAACACCTGGCTCTCTGCTTTGCTCAGCTCCTCTCTCCAGCTGCTGGACAGACCCTGGGAAGCGAGGCTGAGAGGAGAGAAGAGGGAAAGAAAGAAAGAGAGAGGAGTCAGAGCTTGTGGGGAGGGAGGACAGGAGGGGGATCAGCCAGAAGAAGGTGGGGGGCAGGCGGGTGGGTGGATGGATGGGGGAATGCACACAAAGCAGCCAAGAGGGAGACCCAGGCCTAAGGGCAGTGGGAAGAAGAGCACAGGCTGGCCCCTTCTTTCAGGCCACAGGTTGGCCATGAAAATGCCAGCACGGTCGTTCTTTAACTCTCTTTGCTCAACGCTCAGGGACCTATTCAGGGACACCCAGCGTCAAGCATCTTCTGGGGTCCAAAGCAGCTCCTTGCCTGCAACTGAGGTGGAAACGGGGTGGTAAAGAGGAAAAGTTTTTTTTTAAAAAAAAAGAACACTCATCCTGCTTTTTGAGTTTTTAGCCTTTGATAAAGAGACTCAAGACGCAGCCCCTCAAGCTTTCCCTTGCCCTGTGTTTGGTGGGGACACGGGAAAGAGCCTTCTCTGTGGCTACTCCCAGACTCTGGAACTCCCTCCCACTGGAGGACCAGGCTGTCCTTTGGGTTTCCTTCTGCAAGCAAGCAAAGACCTTTCTCTTCAGGCAGGCTTTCCCTGAGTGACTGGCTGTCTAGGAGACAACACACGAGATGGCTTAGATTCTGTTGCTTCTAAATGCTTTTACCTAACCTTTTTATTATAACGTTATTAATTCTTCTATAATATTTGAATAACTTACTGCCTTTAGCTTTGAGAGAGAGAGAGAGAGAGAGAAGAGCTTTGGAGCACAGGGAGCAACAAGGAGACCACATTCATCAGTTATGAAAAGCGTGACAAGCAGATGTAAGGCTGGCTGCCGTGCAGGGTTAAGCACCCATTTTCAAGTGCTGCGAGGATGGGCACAGAACGATTACCTGCCAGAAGACTGTCGATGCCAGTGTCTGGTTTGGCAAGAGAAGACCAACCACCTATGGAAGAAAAAGGGAGAAGATATCATCAGACTCGAGAGGAAGGTCCTCAGATGGCACAGAGCAGCCTGGTTCTTAGCAGCTGCCCTCTCCTGTGATGGAGGCGGGGGGGGCATGGCCTGGGGTTGCTGCTACCCCATCTCTGCACAGTCCCCCCACACAGAGAGAGAGAGAGAGAGAGAGAGAGAGAGAGAGAGAGAGAGTCAGGAAGGGAACTGGAATCACAAAATTGGAATGGGGTGGGGGGAGATAATGTCCTTCTTCAGTGCTGGGTCAACAGACAGCATTGGAACGCCTCCCAGGAGAATGACCGCTGAAGGCAGGCAGGCCAACCTCTTGGCGGCTGGATTTGGGGCTGCGGTGTGAGCAGCGGGCAAGCGGTCTCAAGCCCTGGCAGAGGAACGGACTCTTGGTCCCAGCCATCCAGAAGAATCCTGCCTTTGAACCCCTTGGCCTGGCCTGACCTGCTCTGGACTGAGATGGGTAGAGAACAGAGCTGGCCTTTCGATCCTCTTCCCTGCCTAAATTGTTGCTCTCTGCAGTTTCTGACTTTGGTCTCTTAGCCCCCACCTCCGCCCCCGCGCGCGGGATGGAGGAGGTGGGGGCAGAGGGCGGGACACAGGTGGTCATTTTTTATATATAGCACAGCTCAGTCCGAATCTTATCTGTTCCAGAGTAATCGCTGCAGCCTAACGGCTTGCAAAAGCACACCCAAGGGCTGTACTAAATAATACTTAAACCTTAAATTTCTCTTCTCCCCCAAAAAACGTTCTGATGCTCAAACATAATTGCTGAAAAAGCTTGTGGCAGGCTAGATGCCCCTTCCTCCCTCCCTCCCACCCGGTAACATCTGGTCCACGGGCTGGAAGCTCAGCAACAGGGAATGGGAGCGTCTGCCTCCACTCGCCTGCTGAAGCATGTGGATCCCTCCCGCTCTGCCAGGACCCTGGCAAAACGAAATCAGTCCACGACAAGGCAATTGGACCCTGATGCTCATGGCTGTCAAGTTAAGTGTGAAGACGCGTCAATATGGATAACTGAGGACACGCCAATGGATGACAATTTAAATCTCTCCTGTCTGGTGCATCCAGGTGCATCCAGGAAGGAGCCAGCACTCCAAAAGAGTCTGAGGAGTAAGAAACAAGCGTAGGGGAAGCAGGAGGCAGCCTGCAAGTGAGTAAGTGGGAGCAGCTTCCCTGCTGAAAGAGGTCTGTGAATGGGGGGTGGGGGAAAGAGTGTGAGAATGCTGCATGCCTGCAAGAGGCACATTTAATGCAAGCCTTCCATATGGGCAGACGGGTGCCAAAGCAGAGACAGCCTCACTTCCCGTTACGGGGGGTGGGATGGGGATCTGCAGAGAGAAACAAACTGGGGAAAAAATCCAAGGCTCCAGAAATGGCTGCACGACCGAACTGCACGAGGCTCCTCTGCAGATCCAAGGGCACTTGGGTGTCTTTTCCCATGTCTCACCCGACCCCAGAGCCTACGAGGGTGGGGCAGGGTCCAGGGGGCGGCCACAGCAGCAGCAGCAACTTGTAAAAGGACTCTGCTGGCACCTGTCCCCCAACACAGGCCTGGGAGCAGGAATTGCGAACCTGCCCAGCCCTGCAAAGCCCCACCGACCCTGTGCCCGACCTCCCTCCCCGGTCAGGTGTGGTCTTCAAGACCAAGATGGCCCAAGACAGAGTGCGGCCTGAGGGAGTGAAAGAAAAAGCACCCTGCCCTTCACCCCCACCCCCAAGCAGGCCGCCTGGCGCAAGGAAGTCCAGCAAACCCAGGTCCCCTGGCCCCCTGGCGGGACGCAGGTCGGAAGAAGACCCTCCGCTTTCTGCCCTGAAAAAGTTTGGCTTTGTTGGGGGGGGGGAAGAGATGCTTCACTTAGCCTGACAGGCCAGAGGGGAGGGGGAGGGGGCCAGCCCTGCTGCCTCCAAAAAGAGGAATGCGGTGCCTCAGCCTTATTCTTAGTCAGGCTGCTGTGCTTTCAGCTGCTACCTGAGAGGCAGAAATACGGCCGGGGCCACTTCCCACTTCCTCACTGCTTCTCTCAGCAGCTGCTTAGTGGGCTGGAGTTCTGCCAGGAGTAAGCAAGGCGGGGTCCCCCCAGCTCGAAGGCCCCGAGAACCCAAAACCCCTTGCTAAGGAGAAGGGGGACCCCTCGCCTCCCTCCCTCCCTCAGTCCCTCCTTCCCAATGTGCTCAGTTTAAGACGACGTTGTCGGCGAGAGCAGGCTGCCAATTATGTCACTGCATTTCACAGATCAATTGGCATAAATGTTAAAATTAAAATGTAACATTTGAAAATCACTCCTTCCCGCTTTATGACAAGAGGTTCCAGTTTATCCTCTTCAGCTCACGGAATGGAGCTCTGCTGACAGCTCTCAGCTCCTCTGACAGGCCTGGATTCGGGCCGATTTTGGTGTCAACCTGATCGCCAAATCAAATTTGTGTTTAACTTTTTGGGAAAGTTAATTACAGATTACCACCCAAATGTTAAACATAAATAAGGACACATTTTCCCCCCTCTTAATGCTGGGAACCACGCCATCTCTTCCCTCAAGGTATCCTTACGGGAAGGTCCAGATGTCTCGAGCAACGTGGCACACAACAGATCCACGGGGGGCGGGGGGGGCGCGGCTGAGCTGCAGGAGACCTTGCCGGAAGCCGAGACCCAGAACGGAGGAGAGGCAGACCGCTGGCGCTTTGCTTTGCTTTCTGGGTTAAAGGAGAGTGGAGATGGAGTCCTTGGGAGGTACCCTGGCGGTGGGTACACATCTCACCCCCCAGGGGCACAATCCGCCAGGACGTGCCTCTGAGCCAACTCCGCTTAAACGGCGGGATGCAGCTGAGAGCTCCCCATGGCCTCTTCATATGAATGGACCAAGGCTTGAACACCCACAAGCAGGTGGCCGGCTCTGGCCTTCTGCCAGTCGCCAGAAGGGCATTTCTGATTAATCAACCTTCGTGGTCCACGTCTCCCAGTTTCCGCAGAGAGCGGGAAAGGCGGCCGATTCCTTGGCCCTTGAGGGTGTGATACCGCTGTGCCTCAGGCTGGTTCTTCAAGCTCGAAGCCTCTGTCTTGGGTTTTCAGTCCAACTTCCGCTTCTACAGCTTTAACGTCTGGCCAAGACTGCTTTGAAGCCTTTCTGATCCTTCCTCTCTACATGACACCATCCCATGTTCTGTAAGGTCCAGACCTGTAAGGTAGGATTCGTAGGACCTCTGACAGCTTGCCTTGGGTGCTGTGCCACTCTTGGCCAAGAAAGGCACTGCCCGAACCCGGGCAAAATGGGAGCCGCCCAAAACCCAGAAGGTTACTTGGTGCACCGCAAGATTCTTCACATCATCCAGGTAGAGTTCGGAAAACGGTGAGCCCCTGCTAAAGAAGCATTTCATAGGACAAGCAAGCAGAGCATGGAGGATAGGCCAAAATACTTACTATTGGTGTTCCGAAAGGAATGTAACCTAGAGGAAAAAGAAAAACACACTTCAATATTTAGAAACTCCCCAGCCCTGGTGGGCATCTCTAACCAACAGGATGCTGGCTATAGCCTACTGGAAATCGTAGTTATTGCCAGTCACTGTTCAGTTATGGAGTGGGAGGAAGGGAGGGAGGAGAGGAAA